TACTAAACCACTGTCCCAACTCAAAAGCGGCATTTTTTTATAAAATGATTCGTTCTATTATATGCCCTAAAAATTGCATACATACCAAAATCTGGAAGCCTCTTTACTTGGGACGTAGCAGTCCTTCAGTAAATGACATCGCTCATGCTAAAGCCCAAGGCGAATTTATAGTTACAAGGTGGTGTTACTAGAATTCGCCGCGGTCCTTCGTAATGTCAAATTGATGTGTTTGTTGTATTTTGAGCTACTTCTTGCCGTCATTGTGCGTATAATTTGTTGTTGTAATTTTTGTTTTTGCTCAACCGATACCACCTTGTGTAAATTCGCCTTGCTAAAGCCCCTATTTGATAATTTTGACATTTTACGGGCGAAGCAAAAAACCATTGCGAATTCATACAAGGTGGGCAGCAGTCCTTCAAAAATAAAATGTACATTTATTTTGTTCAAGCTTTTATGGTCAAGCTGTCAAAGCTTACATGCTTTTTAACCGACTTCCAAAAAAGGAGGAGGTTATCAGTTCGTCGGAATATTTTTTGTTTTTTTTTTATGTATGTTACCGCATAACTTTGGACCACGTCAACCGATTTCAATAATTCTTTTTGCATCGGAAGGGTAGTATCTCAGAAGTGGTCCCATACTAATCTGGTTAAGATCCGATCAGTGGATCATGAGATATATACATTTTTTTATATGAGAGTTGAAGTCGGTTTTTTATTTGCTAAAAATTACTTGTGTTTTTTGCTTTTATCGGTGTGCTGTAAAAGTAAACATAAAATATATTTAAGGCGAATGAACAAAAAGCCATCTGGGTCAAACCTAGTTACTGAGATATCGGTGAAAGTATGAAAAACCCCATAGTTACGACACATTACGTGACATATGTATGTATGTTGTCATCCTATCGGTTTTATATCTGAGAGAGATTTGTAAAGGAAACTCCAAAAAAAGTTTTTGCTTTCATAGTATAAATCACACAACTGGTTTGGTCACTATAGAAAAAAATATGCAGAAAATGTAAAAAAAAATTCGTAATTTTTTTTTTTTAAGTTTCCGATTCGACTACCTTGAAGTCAGAAAAAGTGTTGGACGACAAAAAGTTAGTCACCCTATGCTAAAGAGAATTCTAATACAAAAATGTAAGTCTACTAACAGAGCTATAGGATGTGCGATTTATGACTATGAATGCAAAAAACTTTTGTGGTTTTTGTCTTCTTTACAGATCTCTCTAAAATATAAAACCGACAGGATGACAAATACAACTTTTCGAAACACAAATGTTGTGTAATGAGTCGCAACTATGGGGTTTTTTCATATTTTCACCGATATCTCAAAAACTGGGTCTGACCCAGAGAAACCATTATGATATTCGGAATAAGGATAAAATTCAAAGTTAGAAAAATTTTATATCATTCTTGGTGATTTTTTTGTTGAGTAGTGTAATAGAATGGCGCTTACAGATATGTTAGTGTTTGGCGTGCGCCATGATGTTGTCACACGAAGGGGAGCGACCTACAGTTCTACGCCGACTCCGAACGGTGACCGTATTTTTATGAAAAGCTGTTTTTCATGGCAGAAATACGCTCAGAGGTTTGCCATTGCCTGGTGAGGGGCGGCCGCTATTAAACAAAAAACTAGCCTAACTGACATTTCAAGAAAAGTTGAGGTGCACCTTAAAATACATTACTATAATCGAAACGGTAATAGCCCGAGGCATGCTCTTTTTGAGTATTCTTTTACTCAAATATGTTGCATCACGTAGGTGCAATGAACTTTTTAGTAAACGACCGCATTTATTTTTTATAAATCCAGCTTTCTAATATTACTACAATAATTTTTTCATAGATAGGCTCCTCTGACCCTGGAAATTTGCATGAAAATTAATAGAAATTTTATCGAATTTTCCTAGTTTTTCTGCAACATTTTTTTAAATATATATATTTATTTTTTGCTGACGCATTTTTGCACTTTTTCCCATATAAGCATGAATTTCTTATGAAATAAAATGCGGGAGACGGTTCGCAACAAAATGTAAAAGAAGCAGCGCCAGTTTTTTGTAAATTGCACTTGTTCTATAAAAAAAAAAAAATAAAAAAGTAGTCAACAAAAAAAAAAACAAAATTATTAAAAATCATCGTTTTTTTTACCCTCTTTAAACATGTGCTTCATGAGACTAAAATTGTGCGGACTATAAAACTGCATACACAAAAATGTTGATTCAGATTACATGAAAATTTGCTGAATTTTCGTGAGTTTTGCACAAAGTTTAGGAATGATATGTTTTTTTTTGTTTGTGGGAGAATGAACATTTTTTTATAAAAAATTTGTGGAAAAATATTATAAAAAAATTGTTGCATATATTGTGAAAAATTTGCTGTGTCAATACATTTTGCCGGCAGTGTACATATGTATTTGGTCAATATTTAATTTCTTCAAGTTTTATGGACAACAATTATTCGAGGAATTTTACATATAAATATCATACTAAAAACACGAATTTTCTAAAAAAAAAACAACACGAAGGTACGTAATACTAAAATGACGAATTTTAGATACTATATCCATTGGGAAAAGCAGTATAAAAAGGAGCCTCGGCCACACTGGAAATAAGAGGGCCGATTGTGTCAAAATTAAAACAAACACCTCTCTATACATTTTTGTTATTGCACCATGTGTATACGGTAAAATATAATTGAGTTTTTTTTCTAGTAAAAATCAATGTCAAAAAAAACTATGCTGCGTAGATCAATTTTATTAAAAAAAATGTTAATAGTTTTAGTTACTATATACATAAGCATATTATATTAATTATATATTAAACTTTACATCTATGTACAAGTAATTTTTATTACCGTTAAACTAACTTTAGTTCTCATCTATTATATATATATATAGACTATTTAATTAGTATAGGTGCATCGCTTAAGTTGAAACTTGAGTATGTATGTATGTGCAAGTACATATGTATCTGCATGGTGAATTTTCGAGACCGCGATTTTAGTACATTAAAACAAGTATTACACTGTTTAGATCACGTTTCCTCGTTTAAGTTCACCTTTTTTTCTGAACTAACTTCGATGAGAGTGCTTACGTGGCATATTTAATGCGTAAGCTCGACAGTTTAGCACAGAAAAACGAAGCCAATGACTTGGGTTGGTGGTGAAGAGGTGACGACGGCACCTGCATGATTCGCCGTTCGGACATTAACACGTTGCATATTTATTTTTTGCATTTGCATATAAATGTATCTATGTACATATATGTATGTATGTATGCACGGCCGTATCGCTCATTTACTAAAAGACTAGCATAACTCAAAAAAAAAAATGAGATTTTCAAGGGACACATTAAAAGTCTGAATTTTGCTCTCAAAGTGTTAGCACAACATTTATACATATATATAATAGGGGTCTTCATCTAAAGTGATAAATTGCTTAAATTTAGCAGTTTATGCGCATTTTTTCATGAACGCACCTTGGTAAATATTGCATAACATTTTTGTATTATTTAATTTATATGGCTAGTTACGTTTCATCCTTACCTCGAACATTGTGTTCATTTGCTTTTTATCTGTTCGTAGTCAAAACGACCAGCTCGCTATCTGTCAGGGTTGAATTTCGCTGAAATTTATACATTTATCCACCAAAATCGTTTGATAAAGTGATACGACTTTGGTTAAATAGATTTCCATACAAAGTCTGACAGTTAATTTATCAAAATGATAAATTTATCATTTTATTAAGTTGATCAGCTGTTTATCACTTAAGATGAAGATCCCTAATATAAAATATGATACAACGCGTAATTCTGCATCATTGCTAAAAAATCAAAAATTTTTTTGAGTTATGACAGTCTTTTAGTAAATAAGCGATATATACATATATTTACCTGTAGACATATGATTTAACCCTTACGAGAGTCAAATCAATTTACTCTACGAAAATTTTGTACTGATGCCAATGATGTACTTGGGGTATTTTAAGGCCTCTTATTTTGAAATGCCCTTAATCTTTTCACTTTTCTATTACACCATACGATTTTTGTCAGTAAAATAAATTACATTATACCGTACTATATCGTACATTTATAAAGTAGTAGCAAATTTTAGTAATAAAATTCATTATACATTGAGCAAGCTAAATTTTTTTTTCATTAAAGCCAGCTAGATTGAGGGAAAACCGAGGCATTTCAAGACATGTCCCGGAAATGTATGTATGTATGTAGAATGATGTTTAACAATCTATTGTCAGGAATTTTCATCTCGCTGATTAAAAAAAAAAACATTTTTTCTTATAGTTTTAAGTTTTGACCATGACTTATTTCCACAATTTCAAAATATGTAGTACTATCAATAATTAAATCTATTCTGAAAGAAACTGATACCTAATTTATTGCAATCGCATAAAAATTGTCGAAGTTAGGCAACTTTTCTTAAATACGACCTTGAATTTATATGTGTGTATGTACCGGACTTTCAGATTTTGTGAGCAGTGTGGTAAAATTCATATATACAATCACTCTTTATCAAAAAAGTGGGTTTTCAAGAAATTTTAGGAAAATGGGCGTGGCACTTTCCACTAATATGATATATGTATGCGTATCTCAAAAACTACTTGACTTTGCACGATGAAAACTCTCAACAATCCAAGTCTGACAATAGACTGCCATACATAATTTTAAATGCCTATAAATTCTCTTCTCACAACATGTTGCGTTTTTTAAAATTGAATGAAAAATAGTCATTCAAAAACTGATAAACTTAAAAAACCGTTTTTTCTGGCTTAAAATGTCAAGTCGCGACCTCTAAATGATTTTAAAAAAAAATCTATAAAAAAGGCAATAATATTTCTCAAAAAAAGGAAGGAAGTTAGGGATTAGGGTCTTGAAATTTCAAAAAAAAATCGATGGGCACCCTAGTATACATATGTATGTATCTATGTACATATATCCTATATATGTATATGCATACTTATTATGTTCTATTTTCTTTTGTTTCGTTTCAGTAGACACAATGTCAGCTGAAAAAGTCGAAGAGATTCCCGTCGGTGATGAACCATTCCTGGGCACATTGGATATTGTATTGCTGTTTGCCTTAATTGCCGGTGCAACATGGTACTTTATGCGCAGCCGTAAGAAGGAAGAGGAGCCAATTCGTTCATACTCCATACAGTAATTATCAATGCTCTATTTAGATACCACATACATACATATATTAAAACTTAAAAACAAAACTTTTCTTGCATTTCAGGCCCACAACCGTTAGCACTACGAGCTCTTCCGAGAACTCATTCATTAAAAAGTTAAAAGCTTCCGGTCGCAGCTTGGTTGTTTTTTATGGTTCGCAGACGGGCACAGGCGAGGAGTTTGCTGGTCGTCTGGCGAAGGAAGGCTTAAGGTATCGCATGAAGGGCATGGTCGCAGATCCGGAAGAATGTGATATGGTAAGCTACGTGAAAAAAACTAAACTTTACTAAAGTTTGACTTTACTTTTCTTGAAAATCGTTTTGCCATCACATTCAGATTCACATCTACTTTTCTTTAATGTTGTTTATCGTCGTTTAAAGTACAAAACCGCGTATCAACAAAATGCAAAACCGCGTATGTGAGGTTGTATAAATTATTTTCTAGAGTGTAAAAACACTCATATTTCAAAATGGTTCTCTTTTTTTATAAAGCAATCGCATTTCTGGCTAGTATATTTCAGGACGAAAGGGTAAGGATTGAGCCAAGAGCTTGTGTGAGCAAATCCAATTTTTGGCAGCAAATGCCAGTTATGCAGTTTTGCAGAATGACGATACGCGGTTTTGTACTTTAAATGACGATATATAATATATAGGGCTATACATACCTATGTATGTATATATGTATATGTATATATTAGTTTTTAATCTCTTTTTGTGTATACAGGAAGAACTCTTGCAGTTAAAAGACATTCCTAATTCGCTGGCTGTTTTTTGTTTGGCCACATATGGCGAAGGCGATCCTACAGATAATGCCATGGAATTCTATGAATGGCTTTTAAATGGCGATGCTGATTTAAATGGCTTAAATTTCGCGGTAAGTAGAAAACGTCCTTAGAAATTACTCTAAAAGAAAAAAAAAATTATATAGTATTAAAAGAGATACCACATTCGTTTAAAGCTGGTGGGTAATGTGAAGCAAATTTAGTTAAAATTACTTTTAAATGTTATTGGCTCTTTCATTTTTAATTTCTTTAATATATTGGACACATCACAAGACAATTTTTTCAATCTTTTACCATTTTTGAAATGAAGTTGTACCAGAAAGATAAAACTATGTACGTTTACGGTCCTAATCTTCAAGTAACCGAACATTTTGAAACTGTAAAATTTTAAAATTTTATTAACAAAAAGGAAACACGAAAATTAGTTACCGATTAAAAAGTTTTTGTAAACAGCGCTGTATAGACCGGTTTGTAGAGAGATATTTGACGTTGAACTCGGTTGGATTTTCGAATTTAAGCGAACAAAATTATTTTTATATTTCTTGCATCTTTTTAGGGGCTAAATGATAAGAATATTGCCTAAAAAATTATGTTATGTTTATACTAGTGTTGGGCAGTATCGATACAAAAGTACTCGAAACTCGATTCTCAAAGGGATTGACAGCACTCGATTTTTAAAAGTATCGATACTGAGTACTCCAAATAACTCAGTACTCACAAAAGAACTCGAAAGTACTCAGTACTCAAAAAAGGAACTCGAAAGTACTCAGAACTTGAAAGAACTCGAAAGTACTCAGTACTCAAAAATACTCTGTTCACATAATTGCTTTGATACATGTACTCAGGATCGATTCCAAGTACTCAGTATTAAGTGTCGAATAGACTTATCATGTGTCTTATTATGGCTGGGACTACATACCGTCGTGTATTCTGAAAGTCGAGTAAAGGAAATTATTCGAGTAGTGAATTTTTTAACATTAAATTTAATAATAATAAAAAAATAATAGTTTCGCGCTTATAGTATCTACTCACTGAGTTTTGTCCGCTAGTTTTTTTTTTTTAATAATTATTTAATTTAAATTTGAAATTTTTGATATTTGGTTTAAAATTTTGCTGCAACATTGCAGAATTTTTATAAGTTTGCAAAAAGTATATTCGACAATTTTTTTATTGAATAAGTTAATAGTAAAAACAAATATCTTTAAAGCAAGCTTTCTAAATAGGAACGAAATAAATACTTGTTTACCAAATATATCGACTCGTGCGCCACCAATCGGCAAAATCATTTTATGTGGGGCACGCTGGTGAATAATATTTTTACTATAGGTAGACAGTTTTGCCAATCTGCTGTGTGAAATGAAATCTTTTTTGACAACAGTAAATTTTTGACAACCTCAGAATAAAATATAAAATAAAGTGTAATGAAGCGTTTTCTTTTCTCGAAATAATGTTGCATTTATTCTGACCTGCGCCAGGTCTGTCAAGTTTTCGTGTTCTTTTCTCAGCATCTTCACATGCAGATTGCGTGCTCTTTCTTTAAAATGTTGCACTCTGATAATGTTGCCATATAAAAAGGTGATATTTTTTTTTTTTCGAGAAAAGAAAACGCCATAAGAAAACCTCTACCATCATTGATTGCAATTCATCAATTTAAGCTTTTAATCAATTTAATTTTAATCAATGAAGGCGTTTGAAACATTAAACAAATTTTTTTTCCTGAAATATTAAATGTAGTGTAATACTTCTTAATTTTTCCACCTGAAACTCCATTTCCTTATATTTTATTGTTTTTGTTTAAATTTAGGGCAGAAGTTTCATACAAATCAACAGTCTTTGCGATTGTCAAAATTTTATATGCTTTTGTCAGAAATTTCACTAGCTCATGAGGCTTTTATTCACCCCATACTTTTCTTGAATGAAATATAGCGCCGTCTGTCTACACCATTATGTAAAACTCAGGGTTGCTGTTTTTGACAGTTAAAACAGTTCACAACACTGCTTATCTCACAGCTGATTTTGTGCGGCCTCATTTCTGATCAATTTTTCAATGCCAGCTACAATGTGATCTTGCGTAAACATACATGGCGAAAGTGTTCATTTGCTTCAATTTTTATCATCAAACTACACTAGAGTATTTAAGATAAATGATTTCTTTGAAAAGATTTCGGGTGTCTGCCTTTTAATGAACAAATGGCACGTTGAAGTGTACCGACGCTTAGTACTTGGTTAAAAAAAATGTTGGTGCGAGTGGCTGCATACGGATGGCGAAATATTACGCCTTCAACGACATCCTTAATACGCCGACTAAGGCACAGTGAGGGCGTTGTATTAGATAATTTGTTTAATATAAAAATTGATCTAATATTAAAAACTTTGCAATTGAGGGTAATATATTACCTTTAGAAAAACTACGTTGTCATCATTAATGTCTTTTGTTTTTTATAACTTTGTACTAAAAGAAAATTTGTACAATCGTTTTTTATAGGTGTTTGGTCTTGGGAATAAAACGTACGAACACTACAACAAAATGGCCATTTATGTAGATCAACGTTTAGAAGAACTAGGCGCTACACGTGTCTTTGAACTTGGCCTTGGAGATGATGATGCAAAGTAATACATTGATTCGTCCAATAGATCAAATAATTTATTAATACATAATAACCTATAACTGAAACCTTTTCAGCATTGAAGACGATTTTATAACTTGGAAAGATCGTTTTTGGCCCGCAGTTTGCGACTTCTTTGGCATTGAAGGTGGAGGTGAGGAAGTGCTATTGCGGCAATACCGGCTTCTGGAACAACCAGACGTGCATTCCGATCGTATTTACACCGGAGAAATTGCCCGTTTACACTCACTGGCAAATCAGCGTCCACCATTTGACGCTAAAAATCCATTCCTCGCGCCGATCATTGTCAACCGCGAGTTGCACAAGGCTGGTGATCGGTCATGCATGCACATCGAATTGGATATTAGTGATTCGAAAATGCGTTACGACGCTGGAGATCATGTTGCTATGTACCCTATTAATGATACTGAGTTGGTAGAAAAATTAGGCAAGCTCTGCAATGCTGATCTCGGCACTGTATTCTCGCTTATCAATACAGATACCGATAGCAGTAAGAAACATCCATTCCCCTGTCCAACTACGTATCACACAGCACTAAAGCACTACTTGGAAATTACTGCCATACCAAGAACGCACATTCTCAAGGAATTGGCGGAATATTGCACAGATGAGGCCGACAAAGAATTTCTTCGCAGTATGTCTTCCATATCGCCTGAAGGCAAGGAAAAGTATCAGAGCTGGATTCAGGATGCTTGTAGAAATATTGTGCACATTTTGGAGGATATAAAGTCGTGCAAACCGCCTATAGATCACATCTGCGAATTGCTGCCTCGTCTACAGCCCCGTTATTACTCTATATCGTCGTCCTCTAAGGTAAATGGAATTGATTACTGTAAAAGATTAATAAAAAATTGCCTGCTTTTTAAAATTATTTTCAGTTGTATCCAAACCATGTGCATGTCACTGCTGTATTAGTGCAATACAAAACACCAACTGGGCGAGTAAATAAGGGTGTGGCCACGACGTATTTGAAAGAGAAGATACCTGGGTCTGAGGATGTGCGCGTACCTGTGTTTATACGCAGGTCACAATTCAGGCTACCAACAAAACCCGAAATACCTGTAATCATGGTTGGACCCGGCACTGGATTGGCTCCATTCCGTGGATTCATTCAAGAGCGGCAATATCTGCGTGATGAAGGTAAAGTTGTTGGGGAAACGATTTTGTACTTTGGTTGCAGAAAGAGGAACGAAGATTACATTTATGCGGAGGTAAGATGCTTGTAATGCTTTTCTTAGCATAAATGTCATGTTCATTTCCATAGGAACTTGAGGAATTCCTAAAGAAGGGAACATTAACGCTGAAAACGGCTTTCTCACGTGACCAAAAGGAGAAAATCTACGTTACCCATTTGATTGAAAAGGATGCTGATTTGATTTGGAACGTGATAGGGGTGAACAAGGGACACTTTTACATTTGCGGGTACAGAAATAGTTAACATCAAAAAATATCAAAGTACATACTGAATATTCAATATTTTTCTCTATTTAGTGATGCAAAAAATATGGCTGTCGATGTTAGAAATATTTTGGTCAATATACTAATGAACAAGGGTAACATGAGCGAAGCTGATGCTGTGCAATACATTAAGAAAATGGAGGCACAAAAACGTTACTCCGCTGACGTCTGGAGCTAGAAATACAATATAAGAGATTTTTAAGAAATCAGCAACAAAAAAGCCTTTTAATATTTCCTCGTTAAGTAGAAGAATTAATGCTATGAAGACAAAGTGTGCAATTAGTATAAAAACGAGCAGAAAATACCCCGTATTGAATCGGAATTCATCATATTCCTCCGTCTAAATGAATCCCTGTCCCCTTATGCATAATAAACTGTGCGAATGCTCATTATTTCCCAGCTATTATTAATTTTACTTTCTGATTACAATGCAAAAGAGAAAGCATTCTAGTTAAACAAATTACCGGGTTTGGAGTTTTCTGCACATATGTATGTAAGAGAATTATGAAAAAAGTTAATACTAATTATAAGACGATCACATTTTATAGAAACAAATTGTTTTAAGTGTAATTAAGTAGATATGTTAATAAATGTACCCAAAAAATATTACATATTTATTCTGTATAGTGGTGTAAAAATTATGTAAACCAATGTGCAATTTACAGCGAAGAAGAAGTCAATAAACAAAATTTTATTTTTTTATTAATTATAAAAAATTTTATATTTTGTAAATAAAATATAAGAGCAAGCTCACCACTTAGTGCATAGTTCTTTTTTTGAATCAAACTGAAGTGAGTGAATTGGTACGATGGGGCACGGGGAATGCTAGATTTTAAAATGGCTTAAAATATGTTACGAGGAACCGGCATATGAATATCTGATGATTTAATGTGTAGTTATCTTCTTCGGCGAATAAAATTAGCAAATACCTACATATGTATATTTTTCGAAACTTAAGCGGTATTTTCCATTTTTTTGTTTTATAAAACTTGCTTTCGGATGTAAACAAACAACAGCTGTTATAGCAATTTGAATTTGAATATTTGTGCCCGGAAAAAAAGTCCGGGCTGTTTCGGGCACGGAGAAGAAGATATTGGCGCTCTCTATTACCCATTTTTCTAGCCTGAGGAACGCTTTCCGGGCTATTTTGGGCACACGTGGGATCCCTGCAAGTAGCCTGACCTATGATTATCGGTTAAATTAGTGGGAAAACTGACTGAAACTTTTCGTCAGTTTAGCGGTTAGTTTTGTATGGGCTTGGGGAAAAAAGTGACCAAATAAAGTTTCAGTTTTTTTTTTTTTGGAAATAAAGACGAAATTCGACTTTTTCTAGAAAATATTAGGCCCCTATTATGAGTTACATTCGATCTTCGACTGTGGTCGAAAGTGCTGATCGAACGAATTTTCATTTGGTATTATGGCGCTCATTCGATGAAGAATAGCGCTATTGTGAACTTCGCTCGTTTATGTTGTTCACAATAGTATATTTTTCACCGCTGAGAAGCTTTGTTTACAAATCAAGCAAACTAAATAGTGTGCTTATACATATTTATGTAAATTTATGCAAATTAAAATGAAATAAAAAAGAAAGCAAGTTTATAAAAACATGGTAAAAATTAGTACAACGAAGTTCTGGGGTTCAACGATTCGTCAGAGGATGAGAGTTTAGTGAACTGGCCAGGAGTAGTAAATGTTTAAGAGAGTTTATGTGTAGTCTTTACAATATATTTTGGCATAAAATATATTTAAGAAATTTGTCTACAGATTTACTAAAAACTCCCGACTGTCTAAAAAGTCGTTTATGAGCCAAATCTATTTAAAATATTTTAAAACTATCCACAGCTCTATGATTTGTTCTCAGAGATTGTGCCAACTGAGTATTGGGATTTTCTTTCACAAGTAAAAGCAGTCTTTCGAGCTTGTGTTTTGTATTCACGACGTTAAAACTGCATGAAATTGATAAAAATTGTTTAAAATTAGTGTCTACCCGCCAAAAAGTAAGAAAACAAATGCAAAATAATAAATTTTTCACAATTTTCTAACACTTCGCTACACCATCGAAAGCAAAATTCTGTTCGACAGAAAATTCGATACTCAACGAAAATTTCGACACGGTTGCATAGCTCATAATACGAATTTCACTTTCGATCTTCGATCTTCGATAGCCAACGAAGATCGAAAATCGAATGCAACTCATAATAAGGGCCTTAGATTTTATCCGATCTTTAGCACCACAAAGTTCGATTTCGATAATTCGTCATTTTAGAGCTAAAAGTCGATTAAGAATGGAATCGGATATCGAATTCACCCATCCCTATAGCGTATTTGCTTTAAAGGGAGGTTCTGTTTTCTAACGTTCATTTTTGTTATAATCTTGTAAAATCCGCCCGTTGCGATTTCTCTTTCTCAAAACGCGGCAGTCTGCGATTTCGGCTTGACGAAAAAAAGACTGAATGTTCGAATAAATGCAGCAAAATCGTGTAAGTGTGTGGCTGTTAATTTAAAACTATGGTCGACATTGTTGTAATTTTCGTCGGTACAGGTTCGCATCGGCGGAATCCCACAGGTGTGTGGTTGCCTTAATTGTTTTCTAAGACTATGTTCACACAGAGAAACTTTTGTTGCTCATTTTCGGCAATTTTTCTTATGGTGTTGCCCTTCGCGTTCACACAGAAATTCTTTTGTACACAATTTTTGTTGTCAGCTGTGAACGGCCAACTAGAATTACTCTGACGAACGAGAGCACAAAGCGTGTTGCCCGGGCACGAGCAACTCGGTGCCCTTCCCCCTTCCTCGTCTCCCCCTCTCCTACAAGTTGCCGCGACTAAAGTTTCTCCATCTGAACCTAGAGTTAAAGGCGGCTTCCTGTTATTGAAATTGCCTGTGTAACATTAACGTAAGGAAAACTATTTTTCACCATTTTCCAACACTTCATCCTTCTTAACCGTTTCGGATCAGCTGACAAAAATTGTTTGGCGCCTCATCTTTTATTTAATTTTACATTTTATTTTGCCCCGCATTTTAACAGAAATAATCCTTAATTCATAAGTTGGCTGAAGTAAATAGAAATGTCTACACGTCGAAAAGACATTTGGAAGCTGCTGTACAACTTAGTTTCTCGCGATGGTACAGATTTGAATGATGTATTTGCATTTGTTGAAGACATCCTATGCCGCGTGCCCTCGCTTATACGGCCCTCGTTACGCGAACTCAATAATCGCTTTCAGGACACATTTGTGCTATGGATTATCAACAAATTTGTAAAAGAATTGGGCCAATCGAATACCAGTGACAATGCCAATAGCTTTAGTATTGAGGGGTAAGTGGGCATTTTGCAAATTTTTATGCACTGATAATGAGTTGGGGACAAATTTTAGAATACACGACCGTAACATCCAACTGCAACAGAAAATTATTCATTCTTGCTTAGTAAATCGAGCACTCTTATTCGAGCGACTTGTGGCTGCTTACGTGAAGGCCATTGAGCAGCTGACGAACGCATTGCAATTGATGGACGAGCAACGTGAGACGACGAATAAAGTAGATTCAGATCAAAATCGATGTATTGAGATTACCGCATTCTTTAGCGAGGACATGTGTTTACGTGAAATCGATGCAAATTTTTCTTTTCATGATATACGTATTCCACTCTCACAAGTAGATGAACGTGTTCGTTCCCTATTGCAAGTGCTTCGAAACGCATCATCTATTGGATATTCATTATTTCCTCAGCTGTTTGCTGAATCGCTGCTTAGTGCACTGCAAGCAGTACGCGAATGTGATTTACCTACCAAGCTAATGGCGTTGCGTTACTGCGAAAGCATCTTTTCCTCGGCATGTGGATGCACTGAAGTTTTGGAGCACTATAGTCAACTGACCATGCAAGCAATTGCTTTAATATGGGGACAAGTGCCACTTTGGTTGCATGCACACTGCATGCGCCTCCAGGAACTGGACGGCTTGGCAGAAGTGAGCAAATCAATATTGCGAGCGCTAATGCGATTCGGTAACCAGTTTCAATGGACTCGACGAGCCTTGACAATGTTGGTTATTAGTATACTGTATAATTGTGCCGAATTAGAGACGAAAGGTTGGGATCAAAACACTTGCCAAAAATTAAAGGAACACATTCGCGTTCTTGTGGAATTTATAATCGAATTGCCATTGAAAGAGGGAGAGGACGAAGAGATCTTAAAAGAAGCCGACAAACTAATTTTATTATCAGAACGAAATGAAAGTGTGTTACTGCTATTGGCTGTGATTCTGGCCCATCGATGTGAGCAAAGTTCAGAGCGATTACATGTTTTGAAGTTCTTCAAGCAAAGTATCTTCGGCATTCTAAATAAATCTGAACTTAGTGTGGATGATCTGAAGCGGTTGAAGCCGTTGTTGCGAGCTTTTATATACGCCGAACATCGTCGCTGCCAACGCATGCAATTCAATGCAATGCACAAGTATTCTATGAACGAAGTCTTACTGGAGGAATACTATAACAGTATAAATTTATTTGCACCGATAGAAGACGCGGACTACCACATAGAGCTAGATCGGATTGTTTCCAGATACTATGTTAGTTCAAGGTTTGCAAGCCCTAAAGAGTTCGAAATTTCAGCCTTGTATATTGAAATTACAACCCTAATCATGAGCAGTATAAGTTTGAGAAGCTCGCTAAATAGGAGCACTCAAACAACGTTGCTTATAGGCATTAGTGACTGGCTGTACATCACAACGCAAGAACGGCGACCTCCGCGCTACTTGCAAGTACTTGCTTTTGAATGTCTACGTGCTCTTGTAAGCCTAAATATAGGCGAATCCGATGAAGTAGTAAATTTTTTACGTAATCGGTATGAGGAAATCATGCGTTACCTCTTCGTCAAAGAACCGATAGTCGACTCCGTGGAATTATTGACAAGATTGCGAAAGGCTTTCTGTGAGCACTTTCATACTTTAATTGCCTGCGGCTGGATATCCCTGGAGAGTGTGTTGCGTGATTTTGTTGTCGCTGCGGAAGATATGCCAACACTATTGGTATCTATGCTACGAAACTCTTACTGCTCGGGGGCTGGTGCAAGCACGTGCAGCATGTTTCTCCGTTTGTCGCCTTGGGCCACATCTGACGTTCCCTTTCAGGAGCATGTCATTGTTTGTCGGCTTTGTAATCCTAATGAGTGCACATCATCTGCGCAGGTAGAAGCGTATATGCGCGCACACAAAGCTATTTTGGTAAGGTGCAAAAACGAAGGCAACGACCTTGCAAGTGGGCGTAAAACCCATCCTGTGCTGCCGGCGGCAACACGTCGCAAATTGTGTGAAACTTTGCTGTCACAGCACAACTCTGATTTTACACCAATTGGTCGTCATTTGGAATTGTCGCGCATATGCCCAGAAGACTTGTTGACTGTCTTGCAACGGGCTCAAGATGTATCTCAGCTGAATTTGCAGGTATTGCATTCACTCATACCACAATTGATTGCGATCGGTGGGGAGCAATTTACCATGAAATTGGCAAAGTTCATATTGCAGCATACGCAGAAGTCACTGCAACCACAACCTGCAACAACCTCCACGTCTGCGCGACTATCAACATCGGATATTTCGAAGCGACAGAGCCAACTGAAAATACTGGAACTGATTGCCTGCTGTGCGCATAGCGATATAAGCGAAATGTGGCTTTTTCACTTTTTCAAACTGACTTTCTTTTATCTTTTGCACCCGCAATCCATGGTCGTGCAGGAGGCTGTGCTATGTGCGACAGA